CGTAAGGGGATCAGTGTCCATACAACCCAACCGACATTCAGTTCCATGATTCGTTCCTCATCGCAAGTGACATCGATGATCACTCGGATGATCGGACCATGTTCGGAGGTAGAATCTTCACCGGCGTGTGCTTTCCTATCATCGAAAGCACCCTAGCTTTTACAGGTGTTCTCTGGCCGGCACTGCTTGTCGCTAGAGACATCATACTTCTCTCCATTTGTCCGATCGTTGGACTGTCTGACCGTGTAGACATGTTAAACCCCACCTCCACCAGGGAAGTCTGATTCAGGTTGCAACTCCCATTAGAACGCAGGCGACGCATCTGTGACTGAGGCGTTCATCAGAATCTGAAGAGCATCTGGACCAGTTTCCTCTGATGATGCACGCTTGCTTCGTCTACTTACCATCGTCACCTGTGGTTCATCCGAGTCCACATCATACTCCAATCCAGTAGAAGTTATTGTCCTGTCGGAAATTGGAAGTGCCTCCCCGGGAATGTTCTCGCTCGAAGCTTCGATTCGGTGGCCGAGGCCGTTGCTTATTAGGTTCAGTGTAGTCCTTTTCCGAGAGAATTTGCGAGCAACGAACCGAGAGTCACAACAGTTAGGATCTGGGATAGGATTCCACTGCTTGTTGTTTTGGTTCTTCAAAATAAAACATGTGAACTGTCAAATTAACTGGGTTGCCAAACATACCATTATACAAATATTCAGTCTGATGACACTTTTGGGCACTGCCGGCACGCTGAGACAAAAGTTGGCGCACTCTTGCTACACTCAAAAAAGTCCACACGTCTGATCGAAGTGTTTAAACACTTGATATTTCAGATGCACAATCAAATTTATTTTAAGTGTATTTCACCATGGTTTAATGTCAGGGTGGCCAGTGAATTTTCATTTAGAAATCCCGGTTTTTTCCGGTTTTCCCGGTTCAAGACTTAAAATTTTTCCGGTTGTTGATATTCAACAAAAAAACGAAAATGAACGTATTTAAAAAAAAATGTGCTGAAAGGAATTTACTGTAAGGATAAAAAAAAGTAATTTAAGAATAAACTTTTCTACAAAATTTGTGATTAATAGCAATCTTTGTGATGCAAGAATTGGAAAAAAAATAATTAAAATGTGAGATTTTGAAAAATGTTCAAGATCACACATGACTCGTGGAGTCATAATTGGCACGCTCTGAGAAGTGGAAGCATTTTAAGGGTTATAACAAATTACAGAACAATCTATAGAATCTTGCGGACAAACGCTGGAATTTTTAGTAAAATTTAAAAGAATTCAAAGTGTTGATTTCAAACAAATATAGAGAAAGATTCCCATACAGTTTTCGAAGGAGAAGTTCAGAGCAGATTTCCAGAATTTTCTGACATGAAGTCCTTAGAAATTGTTAGATGAATTTGGAGGGATTTCTGTGGAGAAGAATGCAAGTTCTAAATTAAATTAAATGTAATTTTAGAAGATTTCAAAAGGAGTTGTAAAAAACAAAACTTTAAGGAAAATTCCTACGTGATTCTGAAGAGATTTGTATGGGGATCGTGAGGAAAATGACAGATGAATTTCAAGAAGAATTCCGAAAGAAGAGTGTTCTGGCAATAATTTGCTGAAAATTAGAAAAAAAAATACTTAAAATACTCCAAACGGTATCTAAATAAAATTTCGAAAGATTTCTGCTGTTTTGAATAGAGTTGAAATAAATTTTTGAAAAGATTTTCAACCGAATCTAAGTCTCGAATAGGTTCAAGGGAATTCTAAGAAGGAATCCAATTAAATTCTTAGAAGGGGTTTCAAGGAAATCCCAAAAAGAATTCAACGGTAATTATTACACGGAGTGTTTTCTGTTTAATTTCTGAAGAATTCCATGATAATTTAGAGCAGAATTCATATCAGGAGAATTTTGAACGACGAAAAATTAAAACTCCGGAAAATAATAATTCAGTTTCGGTATTTACAAATATTTATTTTCAAAGTCAAGCATCTTCAATATTTTCTTTCAAGGACCATGCACTTTACATCTGAATTTGAAAGGACAATAATCAAATTGCAATATTGCTGAGTGATTAAATTCAAAAAATTATTGAATAAAATAAAATTATGCAGCAAATAGAGTAAAACATTCATTTGATAAATGATCACTCTGTTTTAATGGTTTATTTTGAATTTCTGGTGTAACATTTGTTCCTATGATATGGTTTTTCCCGGTTCTCTCGTCGAATTTCCGGGTTTTTTCCCGGTTACTTTTCAAATTCCCGGATATTTCCCGATAATCCCGGTTTTCCCGGTTTGCTGGCCACCCTGTAATGTGTTCTACACGTTGATTTCTAGTGTTGCCAACTTTTAAATATTGATAATCTTTCTCTGGCAATTTAAGTGCTTTGCACATTCAATCACACTGTAGAGATGAGCTAGCCTAAGGCTAAAAATCTCTTTAATAAAGAATTAAAAAAAAATCAATCGCACTACTGTTCAAAACAGATGGATTTGAAGTGTTTTGCATTTCAATGCGATGTGAATTTTCTTGTTCTGCAAGGTAAACATCGACTTCAGCATCATATATGAGAATAACTGTGGCCCAGTGGGATCTAATGAAGACAACGGCAGCAGCACACCCCAACAGTCCAGGATCAATTTCTAAATCAGACCCATTTAAAAAAAGGCATGTGTAAGCTCTGCCCTCTAAGTAAAGCAGTTGGTCCCGGCCCATGTATGTTTGAATGGGTGCGATATCCTACGCAGGTGTGGAAACTGCCTTTCTGCACATTCGATTGTCGGCAATCGATGTCCGTCGGTGATTGGCACTAGATTGCGGAACAGAGACCGACGTTAAATAAATGAAAAGAAGTAAGCTCTGCCCTCTGGCAGCTTTGCTTATATATTTGTCGATTCAATTTTGGAGTCGGTAAAGTAGAAGTCGATAAAGTAGAGCATTGAACTATCATGTGAAAGCTGTTGATATTACAATGTGAGGCACATAGACTCCAAGTGTGACTCAATTCGAACCAATAGTGTTTAGGCATGGTTCAAAGCATAGGATTCACACATGAAATGGATGTGTTTCACAATAAGTGCAAAATTAAGTGTGAGACACATGCTAATTTTGTGAGATTAGGTACTGTGATTCTATACACTTGACATTTTGAAAATTACTCAAAAAATGCCTTAAAGGCAGCGTTTTCAATTTGTCCGGATTTGTTCGTCTTCGACCTTTATTGTACGACCGCAGCCAAGTACACCACAATTGTGAAGCCATTCGCTCACTCATAGACGTAGTAGTATTTTTAAGCAAGACTCTATTTGTTGAACAACAATTTTTTAATAGTTAACCACTTGAATAAGAAGTGAATTGATAGTTGAAAAATACAATGATAACAATGGTTTAATTTTCATTGAAAAGCTTCCAATCAGCACCAAACGTAGCAGCTGTAACAACCCTGCAGGTACTATGAAGGATTGTACCGTATGCGTGATAATGTTTGCACCATCGTACAAATAAGGTTCCAGTTTCACCTGTACATACAATGCCTTGGTTTTCTTTGCCTACACGTAACCTATAGCTCATACCGTAGTAGGCTGTGTATAAAAGAAAATGATTTACTTAGTTTGACAGTTGTACCATGACAAAGTGGCAGCGTATTCGTGATTTGTCCCACGCGCAAATGTCACAAAAAGACATTTCAATCGCCGTGGGAGTGTCCCGGTGGACCGTCAAAAGCGCTTAGACCGAAAAAGAAAGGACAACTATCCGCGAAGGCAGCCACAGGTCGTCCGAGGTTAGCTCGGGTTCCGAGGGTTATCGCTGCTATCAAAAGGAAGATTCGGGTGAATCCAGTGCGTTCAATAAGGAAAATGGCAAAGGAACACGGGATCAGTGACTTTACGGCACGGAAGATCGTAAAGGAAGATTGCGGGGCGAAGTCTGAGGGCACGGAAAAAACTCACATGATTACCAACCGCGTCTGGGAGCTACGAGTCGAACGATGCCAGAAAACCTTGAACTTCCTTAAGCGAAAAAATCCGGTAATCCTGTTCACCGACTAGAGCATGTTTACCGTCGATCCCGTATCAAATTCCACAACCGACCAGTATATTAGTTCTCTTCCGGTAAAAGACGTGGCCGACGAGCACAAGAACGTGTATCTGACCAAGCTTCCGTGGATCAAAGAACAGTAAGGTCCGAAGCCAAATGTTGTATTTCAACAAGATGGGGCTCCGTGCCACACCTCGAAACGCACTCAGAAGTGGTTGCAGGAACATTTTCCGTTCTGGACGAAGGATATGTGGCCGCCATCCAGCCTCGATCTTAATCCGCTGGATTACTCAATTTGGCGCGTCATGAAGGCCAAGGCCTGTTCTTAACGCCACCCGAGTACAGCAAGCCTCAGACCAACATTGACCCGTACCTGTGGAGAAATGGATCCAGACTACATTATTAGAACCTGCCGTGCATTCCGGAAGCGTGTGGAGGCCGTAATTGCAGCAAGTGAAAACTCGATCAATGATTAACATAGTTTAAGACTCTGAGAAACATCCCCCCTTTGAATAAAAAAAAAACTCAAAAACGAAATTTTTGAGATTTTTCTTAATTTTGACATTTTGAGTGCAATAATGAGCACTTCTAATTTCTGATTCAGTTAAATAGTAAAATTCCTACTCTTCATCGCTACGATTAGATGTGTTTCAGAACGCTTTTCACTGATTAGAAAACTTGTTGAAAACACATTATACGCCCGTCGAAAGTAACTCAGGGACTGAGCCAAGTTGACTCATTCTCTTTTTTACCCATACACATTTTACCCAGTTTCGCAAAAAGTGGAGTTACTCAGTGCTATGAGTACCTCCACTTTTTACGAAACTGAGTAAAATTTGTATCAAACGAAGTCCCAGGAAGAGTAACGGCAGTGATAGCAAATAGCTTCAGCTTTGGAGATCAATCCTAATGGCAGCATCGACACAAAGTGAGCAGACACGATCCCTGTAGCTAAGCATGTAGGGCCCACTTACCTCGGATACTGTGGACCGCACTGGGTGTAGCAGCAGTTGTTCCAACAGCCGCGCGAAAACGGATTGTAGCCACCCTTGAACTTGCCCGTCACCTGCTCGTTGGTGGTTCGCCCTCGCGACACCAGCACCATGTGGAATCCGGTGAGGCCGAAGATCGGAATCGCCAGCAGGGTGACGATCGCCATCAGGACCATGCTAAAAATTAGGAAAATTCCGGGTGATTGCATTTGAAACTGCACGAGGGAAGAACTTACGCCACGATGGGTTCCACCTCCGTCAGCTTGTCCTTCTCCTTCTGGAGGACGTAGATCAGCGAGAGCGAAAAGATGCTCAGCATGTGGATCGACAGCGAGATCAAGAAGAAGAAGAAGAACCGGTAGTTCCGCCGGCCGATGCAGTTGTTCACCCACGGGCAGTGGTGATCGAAGGTCTGTTTTTGACGAGAGGAAGTTGAGATTATCCAGAAGTTAATTTGTTGTAAAGTGTCTTACCTCGATGCAGTGATTGCAGACGGAACAGTGCGAACACCGTGGCGGTCGGTAGAACTTACACGTCACGCACCATTTCATCCGCACCGTGATGCCGTTGATCTCGGCATTCTTGTACAGCGGGGCTCGGAACTCGTCCTCGCGATCTTCGTCAGGTGGGGCTGCAAAGCAAACAAACAAACAAAGCATTACAATCTAATTTTCAACTTACAGACGGACACAAGGTTAATCGTGATCAATGCTGATTTTCTGATTTCACTGCTCTCAGCAATTCGGAATTACCTTCTCGATATGCAGCACGCAGCAAACGAGATGCAAATGAGAATATAATTACTCCTCTCTACAGGTAATTAATGAATGAATTATCAAACCAGGGCACGTCGCGACATTATTTTTCACCACTTTTCCGCGCTGGGCACGCGACGGGTGACTGTGACGCCCGTGGGGTGACCATTATTGGTGTCGCCCTGCTGCACCTGCTTTTTGTGGGTGAGGTGCGCCTAATCAAATTTTGGGCTCCATCGCAGCTGGTATGATAGGGCAATTAGAATGTCTATGGCTTGAAAATTAACACCACAGGTAAAAGTGACGTCTACGTCTTTAAAAGGAAGCCGACACGATAGCAAACCGTTCTTTGAATTGTTCGTCACGAGCGAGTCCCATTTTTAAACTACTAACAGCTTTGGTAAATAACTTAGTACACAGTAGCGTCGCCGCATGATGTTCTACCAAATGACGCAGGTGGTGAATGGATTCAAAAAAGGTTGATCAACTAAGGAAATTCAAAATTACATCGACAGATATCAAATAGGCAACCGATTCTAATGTATCGTTTTGTAGTCTGTACGAAAACCGAGCAGTTCCACGTCAAATCACGAAACGGATCTTCTTCGATTTGCATGTAACTGTGCAATGGTTTGTTATGGGCAATGATTCAAATGTTTGCTAAAATTCGACCGTTTTGGAACTTGTAAAATTTTCAATATGACCCTTCATACGTCCAAAGCGTACCAGACTGCTGTTTCCGTGTTGCTCCCGTTTGACGCGTTACTACTGAAAGTTTCAATTACAACTAGTGGTACAGACCGCCATGTACTGTGGGAAATTTCAAGAGGTGATAGAAGGTTTACTTAGCTTACATCAGGCATTTGAGACATTCACAAACTTAACAACCGCCACCCAAAAAAAGCTCGCTTTTAGGTGCACTATTTAACGAGTTTTGTCATGGTAGTGATATCGACATGCTTAGAAATCAATGCATTAGATATTAGACAGACCATCCGAACTGAATTTAATCCTTTTTGAAGCAAACCAAGGTCGAAGATTTAATTGAGCCACACTATAAAATAGTGTATTCATGACCACTTGTGGTCTGGAGTAAAGAAGTACAGCTATTTACACCTGTGTCGTGCACAGGTTGCACATGTGGACGCGACGCTACTGCATAACCCCGAGCAATTAATTTCCCTTATGCTTATGTAAAGGCAGTGTAGGTACGAATGTCGCTTGCGGGGATGACAGCACGTTCTGTCAGTAGAGTCGCGTCCTATTAAGGTTAGGGCAACGCCACTGCGTTAAATATGCGCGAGTTTACGATTTACCACCGGTGAGGTGCCAAATGATGATCTAACGTTGGTGCTGTGGAAGTATGGGAGAGTAAAGTGTGTTATCTGGTAGAAATTCCGTGCGGAGTTTGGCCTCGTCATGTATACATGTGTTCGTGGTATATACATGGACGTGACAAAGGAGATTCGTGGATTCACTTTGAAAGCGTTCATTACGTTTTGACGCAGTTTCCAGTCTACTACCGGTACCGCTTCGACGACTTGATTGCACCTTCCGGGAAACAGACAAACGTTCCTTGAAACTTTTTTTTTTTGATTTACGGTTTAGCGACTTTGCAGTCAATTTAATTGTTTATAGGAAAGTTTGAACATACTGAGAAACGTTTAAGCACTGCACAGACGGCGGTTTTGGCCATTTTCAACTCCTTTGCGATACTCGTACCCGACCATGTCAAAAGATACCGAACCGACCACTAGGAGCGCTGTACTGGACAGAAAGAAGCGTACCGATTCTAAATTAGCAGGGCTTTATTCTATAATCTCCTCAAAGGTTCTTAAAAAAAATTATCTAAAATTCTGAGTTGGTTGGAAATGCCAACATGAAGATTTAGTGTGTTAATTTATTAGCTATAGAATGATCTTTAGAAGAAGGTAGGAGGATAGTTCCGTTAGAGTACGGCAGTATGAAAATTGAATAGAAGTGAAAATGAGCGAATGACCATCTTTTGCCTAACCCGTACGATGTACGCGGAGACTTGAAGTATGTTTTCAAGTCTACAGGCAGATGTGCGTCCGCTTTTTGCTCATTAATGACTGCGACTGTGGAATTGTTCTAGCGACGTTTCATCACTACCTAAAGCCCCACGTTGCGAAAGCATTTCCAGTCGATGGCGTGTTATTAAAATAAATTCTCCTAATAATTCTGCTGTATCCTGGAAATCTAGTCCAATCCAAAGGCCTTGACATTTTTTTAAGGTCCAACATTTATTTATTGATTTTTTTCAAAAAGAGGAGGAAGTACATTTTTTCCGATTTGTTTTCGAAATTGACAGGTTTTTCCCTGTGACTTCGAATTCCCGTTTTTCCCCATTTTACGGTTCATTTGTTTTATAATTCAGAGTTACCACCCGTTAGCCTTTTTAAAATTCCCGGGTTTTCCACTGTTTTTTCCGGTATATACGAGTTGATTTTCCCGGTAGCATGAGCATGAGCATGATTGACCACCCACGGTTGCTACTCTGTTATTGCCAGATCAGCTGTAATTACACAGAGAACCAATAGACGATGCTTGCGACTAGCAATCATCCTCAATGTGTAAAAACTGGTGATCTCAAACTAGGCAATACCAGCACCAGCACCGAACGCAGGTCAAGAAAGGGATGGGTCAGGAATGTGTTGACGTGACACTCGCTTTGATGGAACTGAGAAAACCTCTGCACTTCCACAAGGAATCACTAGGATATTGGGTAAGAGGGTTGGGATTGCAGTAGGATTCGTTTTGATAAACGATAAGCTGAATTGATGTCCTAACGATTATATAACGCGAAGGAGCTTGGAACTCACGTCCATTGGATTCCCATTTTCGTTCCATTTCGATTTCATTCCCGTTATTTTCCCATTTTATTCCATTCCCATTCCATTCCTTTTCCATTCCTATTCCACTCCCATTCCATTACCATTTCTATTTCCATTCCATTTCCATTTCATTCCATTTTCATTCCATTTCCATTCCATTTCCATTCCATTTCCATTCCATTTCCATTCCATTTCCATTCCATTTCCATTCCATTTCCATTTCCATTCCATTTCCATTCCATTTCCATTCCATTTCCATTCCATTTCCATTCCATTTCCATTCCATTTCCATTCCATTTCCATTCCATTTCCATTCCATTTCCATTCCATTTCCATTCCATTCCATTTCCATTCCATTTCCATTCCATTTCCATTCCATTTCCATTCCATTTCCATTCCATTTCCATTCCATTTCCATTCCATTCCCATTCCATTTCCATTCAATTTCCATTCCATTTCCATTCCATTTCCATTCCATTTCCATTCCAATTCCATTCCATTTCCATTCCAATTCCATTCCAATTCCATTCCAATTCCATTCCAATTCCATCCCAATTCCATTCCAATTCCCATTTCATTACAATTCCATTCCCATTATATTTCTATTCCATTCCCATTATATTCACACTCCATTCCTATTCCATCCACGTTCCCATTATATTCCCATTCCATTACATTCCTAATCCATTCCCATTCTTTTACATTCCTGTTCCATTCCCATTCCATTCCATTTCTATTCCCATTACATTCTCATAATATTCCATTCACATTCCTATTCCATTCCCATTCTATTCACTTTCCATTTCTATTCCATTCCCATTCTCATTTAATTCCCATTCCATTCTCATTCCATTCCATTCCCATTATATTCCATTCACATTCCATTCCCATTACATTCCTATGTCATTCCCATTATATTCCCATTCAATTCCTATTCTATTCCCATTACATTCTCATTCTATTCCATTCTATTCACATTCCATTTCTATTCCATTCCCATTATATTTCCATTCCATTCCCATTATATTCCCAATCCATTCCATTCCTATTCCATTCCTATTCCATTCACATTCAATTCCTATTACATTCTCAATTCCATTCCATTCCTATTCTATTTCCATTACATTCTCATTATATTCCATTCCAATCCCATTCCATTCTATTCACATTCCATTTCTATTCCATTCACATTCCATTCCCATTATGTTTCCATTATATTCCCATTTACATTCCTATTCCATTCATATTTACATTCCTATTCCATTCCCATTCCATTACATTCCTATTCCATTCCCATTCCATTACATTCCTATTCCATTCCCATTCCATTTCTATTCCCATTACATTCTCGTTCTATTCACATTCTCATTTCTATTCTATTCCCATTCCCATTCCATTCCCATTATATTCCTATTCCATTCACATTCCATTCCTGTTCCATTCCCATTATATTCCTATTCCATTCACATTCCATTCCTATTCCATTCCCATTATATTCCTCTTCAATTTCTATTCTATTCCCATTACATTCTCATTATATTCCATTCACATTCCATTCTCATTCCATTCTATTCACATTCCATTTCTATTCCATTCCATTCACATTTACATTCCTATTCCATTACCATTCCGTTACATTCCTATTCCATTCCATTTCTATTCCCATTACATTCTCATTCTATTCACATTCCATTTCTATTCCCATTCAATTCCTATTCCATTCCCATTCCATTCCTATTCCATTCTCATTCTATTCCCATTCCATTCCCATTCCATTCCCATTCCATTCCCATTCCATTCCCATTCCATTCCCATTCCCATTCCATTCCCATTCCACTCCCATTCCATTCCCATTCCATTCCCATTATATTCCTATTATATTCCTATTCCATTCACATTCCATTCACATTCCATTCACATTCCATTCACATTCCATTCACATTCCATTCACATTCCATTCACATTCCATTCACATTCCATTCACATTCCATTCACATTCCATTCACATTCCATTCACATTCCATTCACATTCCATTCCTATTCCATTTCCATTATATTCTTATCAGAGCTTAAAATTATTGACTGCCTAGGCTGAGTGTGAAAGCACTGCACTATTCAATCCTATTTGTACCAAACGGTAAAGGACGAGGCAATGAAAGAGCCAACAAAAACATTCAGTCACTCACGAGCAGGCGACGCACACCGCTTGCCTTCACTCACACAGCGTGCAATTGAGTCATTTTTCCATAGAAAATGCACGCTCAGTCATTCAAAACAAATATAGGGTACCATCACAGAAAAATAAACGTGTTGACTGAGCTACTGACTGAGTGCACGGCTGTCAGTGACTCGTTTACCTCTGAATCATTCAGACTCTCACGAGGCAATGAATGATGAGGCAGATGGCAGTTCATATTCATATCAAAATGACTCAATGAACCTGACTGTTTTGCGCACTGATTCCCATTATATTCCCATTCCATTCCTATTCCATTCCCATTATATTCCCATTCAATTTCTATTCTTTTCCCATTACATTCTCATTATATTCCATTCCATTCCCATTCCCATTCCATTCTATTCACATTCCATTTCTATTCCATTCACATTCCATTCCTATTCCATTCCCATTATATTCCCATTCCATTCCTATTCCATTCCCATTCCCATTCCATTCTATTCACATTCCATTTCTATTCCATTCACATTCCATTTCTATTCCATTCACATTTAATTCCTATTCCATTCTCAATTCCATTCCATTTCATTCCCATTCCATTCTTATTATATTCCCATTCCATTCCCATTATATTCCATTCACATTCCATTCCTATTCCATGCCCATTCCATTCCCATACAAAAATCTAGCGCCAATTTGCGCTAATTTGAATTATCAACATTTTTACACTCCACTATTTTGAAACAAATTTCTAATAATTTTCAAAAAAATTATGATACATTTAAAAACATTTGATATTTGGATAGGTTTCATTATTTTCACAATGTACTGTACAAGAGACTTTTAATGTTGGCCTATATGCTGTAAAAATGACAAAAACGCAATTTTTACGATATTTTTTTTTTTAGTAGGCCTATGTCTCACTTTAGGTGAGTCCAAGGTCTTTGATGTCTTGGACTTTTTCAGAATTATAAAATGCACAACTAGGCCGAAAAACTACAAGGGACAGCCCTGTGGGGTTGTACGCAATGGTGACGTAGGACTATGTGGTCTTATAAAATAAATGTTATTTGTTAACTGCAGCAGGAGCTTGCGTTTTGTGTAGGAATAGGAATTTTAGCGGGGTCCTCTCTGTTTATACTCTTTAGTATGACGCGCTTGGCATACATGGCCCACAGCGACTCACGAAGAGCTACTGATTCCGATCAATAGCGTTACGGCTTCTTCCTCCTTCTATGGATGCTCATGTGGGCTGAAACTCGCTGCTTGCGGGCAGCCTTTTGTTGTGTACTGGAAAACAATGTTCAACGCCACGCTCCGAAAACACTGCTGCTGATGCCGACGACCAGACACCACCACACACGATGATTGAAACTGAATTCGATCATTCGTTGTGTACTGGAGACCACCACCATTCACGACGCGGTGATTGAATAAACACCGTTTGCTGAGACCGGATGAATTCAACTTTGAAATCTGTGTTAGGGAAATCGGTTTTCGCATGCAATCGATGATAATTTTATTAAGAATAGCAACAGTTGCACAGTCGTGCAATTTTCAATAGCGAAATTTAGAGAAATGATGAATGATGATGCGTAGAAATATTTCTAATCGATTGGTGATAAAATTATTGAAATTGGTCCAGGGGCAGCTGAGTAATTAACGTTCAAAATCTTTCATAATTTTGTTACATGTGCCATTTTCGGTTTTCACAATGTGTACCCCCATATAGAAATCATAGACGTAGTCCTACGTCAAAAAACATCCTTCTAGGACCCTCTGTTTAAAACATAGATTCGCAGGAATATGAAGTAATCAGAAATCACCAAAAGTTGGCCCTTAATAAACTGAACAACTTTGAAGAATGCATACCCACGGCGATAGAGGTTCTGACCACGCTACTGGGTTCACTGCCCGACTGTGCGTAGGTATTCTAAAGATCTCCAGCTGATCGAAGATTTCAATTAAGTCCACTGGATATTGTTCAAGACTTCAAGCTGGTCATGCCAATTATTCTAAAAAAAACCCCATCATTGACCGAGTAAAATTTTCCTCGCTTTTTCTCAAAAATCTGCTGGAAAATGAGGAAAATCGATGAACATTTTACTCACACGGCCGGTGATCCACCACCTCAAATTTGAGTTTTGATCACTTAATATTTTTTTCTTGATTTCCCAGGAAAAACGGTTCGAATATGAGGAAAATCGAGAGAGGTTTTACTCCGTCTATTAGTATACTCCAAGACTGAGTTAAATTTTCGTCGATTTTCCTTATATTCGAGCAGAGTTTTGAGAAAAATTGAGGGAAATTTTACTCAGCGTATGAGTGACCTACGATTTTGCGATTTTAAGTGTAAAACCATTCCATTTTGAGTCGATCGCATACCAATAAACTGAGTGAACCCTCTCTAGATGTTCCTCGTATCCGAAAAGTTTTTCCTGGAAAATCGAGGAAATTTTTACTCAAACACGAGTCAGATTCAACGACCGTGCAACACTTTCACTGCAAATTCTACACGGCGAATGAGAACGACCCAAATTTGAGTTTAGTTCACTCATAATCGCCAAAAGTGCAGGAACTCAGCGATGAGTAAAATTTGTCTAATGGTTTCCTTTGGAAAACCTAGAAAATCTGCCGGAAAATGAGGAAATTGACGAAAATTTTATTCAGTCTCGGAGTAGTACCAATAGACTAAGTGAATCCAATCTTTACTTTTCTCAAATTCGGAAATTTTTCCCTGGAAAATCCTGGGAAAACATGAGGCAAATTTACTCATCGCTGAATTCCTGCACTTTTGGCGATTATGAGTGAACTAAACTCAAATTTGGGTCGTTCTCATTCGCCGTGTAGATAATGACTTTCGATGCAATGCCAATCTTTGCAGCTACCCTTAAGAGATTTTTAATTTTTAACTTGATAGCCACAACCATCTGTACCACCGGTGGTATCGGTCAACCCTATCCGCCAAGCACGATAAACGAAACAAGCAAAAAAACTTTCAGTGACGCCGTAATTCCGGTAACTTTTAATTACTTTCGAAAAACTCACCTTTCGGTATGACGCCGGGATCCATGAAGGTGGCCATCGTAAAGTTGGCGATGACGAAAAACGTGATGACGGCCTGGTACGCCGGCACCCATGGGTGTCGCTGTATGTAGAACTGGCGACATCTGCGGAGAAAAGAAAACAAAAAATCAGACGAAACGAATATGAGCACTTTGACAAGTAGGTTGGTAACTCTAGAGAGTCTTTGGATGGACAGCTTGACGACAACCCATTATAGGAGCAGCAAGCAAGCAAGTGTGCCTAAATGAGGATGAGAAAAACATCATTATGGTTGCAACTAACAACGCACCATAATACCCGTGAGCTGCTTGCCATCGCAAATTGCAGTGCCACAGGTGCAACGGCACCCGTCAACACAGCACGGACGGATGGGAGGATTAGGTAAATCAAAAAAGGAAACGTGCTCACAGCAGCAGGAACGGGAGTACAGTCAACTCTCTACAAGTCGATATTGGAGGTGACCATGTCCGTAGCCCAGACCCCTTGAGAATTGACTGTCCTTCGGCGAGAGAGTTGCTGCTCGAGTGAAAGGGCTGCCTGTCTGCCTGCCACTGTCAATCACTGCTGCTATAGGAGACGCACATTTTCATTCATGCGTTTGACGGTCGTATGATGGATTTTATTTTTAAATCACAGTCACACGCAGAAAGTTGGTTTTATTTTTTGGAATCTACTTCAACCCCGTTTGGGGAAGGAGACTAGGGCGCGGGTATAGGACGGAGCAGACACGATTTATGACATATTGGCGATGTGTTGCGCACCGATACGGGAACGATGGTCCGATTTGTTTCGGTTGGTGGTTTTTCCAGTCGATGAAAAGCAGTGGGCAAGAGTGACGGATGTAAAAAAAATTCAATAAATTTCTGTGATCGGCTTTGAGAGGAAAACAGCAGAAGGTCGAATCAAAATTTCATAAGAAAATGGTCTTGTGTAACCTCTTCGAGAGAATGACGAACCTAATAGGCATTCTCTTTTGTTCTTCGGTGGATGCAGCTAACATAATTGAATAGGGAAATTCACGTATTCTCGTCAATCTAACCAGTGTCCCCACTTCTATTCATATGATGTGTTTGTGTGTGTGTGTGTATTTATTTGCTGCTTGCTGCTCCATCCATTCTAATCGATAGAATGGTCAAACAATGTTTCAACACATTTCTACAACGATGCAAACATATCAGATGAGTGTGACTATTGTCGGCAACAGCAACTAGCTGTTGTATTATCTATTAAAACCTGACAAAATACGTTTTCTCCGTTGTGAAAGTCAGATCATAATGAAGCTGAAATTCACTGACGTTGAATCCACAGATGAAAGTGGTCGATAATAACAACATTTTGATCTGGAACTCGACTATATTGGTTTCATATGTATTTATAATACAGAGCTCGGTGGCCTAGTGGTGGCCATTTTTGCATACTAAACAGAAGATTAGGCGTTAATTTCCCAGCTCCTTCGTTCTAGAGGTTTGTTATCACATACTATTATCATATCATATCCCATACCATTATGAATCCTGATCGCCATTTAGAAACAAATAATTCTAGATTCTATGGCTAAATTTTACCACACATGATTGCTTCGGAGAACTTCAGGAAATTTCGAAGTAATGGAGAGGAAACTGCAAGAAACTTTCTATAAGTGCGGCGAATTTTGTAATTTTGTGGTTCAGCTCACTTTATAGACGTTTAAGTTTAGTAAAATTTGTTTATGGTTTGTTTGAACTTTGAAGGAAATTGGCGGATTTTTGAGAAAAAAGCGAACTTTAGAAAATTTTTAAAAAAATATAGCTTTAGGAAACATTGTAAAACTTTACAGTAGTTCAGGAAACTTCGTTGAAGTTTAACAAACTTTGAATCTTTCAGGAAATTTCGAACAAGTTCAAGAAGCTTCGTGGAAAATCAACGAGAAACGTAGAAGTGTTTGTTGAGCCGCTTATACTGTTTGTTAACGAGGTTGTACTTCCTCTTCGATGCATCCGTTCGAAGTTTACAAAATGTCTTCAAGGCAGCTCGTTTGGATGACTTCAGTCGCTTGAGTCGGTGATTGGTCCAAGGAGGGTTACTAGATATGGGAGGATTTGTCATGGGTACAAACTGGTCGATTGCATACGCAACAATACCGTATGCGTGATAATGTTTGCAACATTAAGCAATGTCAAAATTAAAAAAAAATCCAAAAATTTCGGTTTTCGAGTTTTTTTTTTATTTAAAGGGGGATGTTTCTCAGAATCTTAAACTATGTTAATCATCGATCGAGTTTCCACTTGCTGCAATTACGGCCTCCACACGCTTCCGGAATGCACGGCAGGTTCTAATAATGTAGTCTGGATCCATTTCTCTCCAGGTACGGGTCAATGTTGGTCTGAGGCTGGCTGTACTCGGGTGGCGTTTAGAACCGGCCTTGGGCTTCATGACGCGCCATATTGAGTAATCCAGCGGATTAAGTTCTGGGCTGGATGGCGGCCACATATCCTTCGCCCAGAACGGAAGATGTTCCTGCAACCACTTCTTAGTGCGGTTCGAGGTGTGGCACGGAGCCCCATCTTGTTGAAATACAAAATTTGGCTTCGGACCGTACTGTTCTTTGATCCACGGAAGAACATACTTATTTAAAGACCTCCGTGTTGACCTTGTCGCCTTCTGGTGAAGGCGTACATATCGTAACAAGCATCCGAGCAGTTTGTACTCAGCTACAGTTCATCCTTCGCCTCCATACACCGTTTTCAGATACCCCGCCAAACATGGTCCTAAGCACTCGTCGTTCGAAAACACCCAGTGCTTGCAGGTCCTCCTCGAGCATCGTCCACATCTCGTGCCCGTAGAGAATTACCGGTCTTATCAGCGTCTTGTACATTGTACATTTAGTACGGAGGTGAAGTTTAGCCGACCTCAGGGTTTTGTGGAGTCCGTAGTAAGCACGACTTCCGGCAATAATACGCCTACGAATTTCTCTGCTGCAGTTGTTATCCGACGTCACCAATGATCCGAGGTACACAAATTCATCCACCACCTCGAACTCATCTCCGTCGATTGTCACGCTTCTGCCTATGCGAGCCCTATCCCGCTCGGTTCCTCCAGCTAACAGATACTTTGTCTTCGACGTATTCACCTTTAATCCAACCTTCTCTGCTTCATGTTTCAGCCTGCTTCGCCACGGCCTGAAACGTTCTTCCGACAATGTCCACGTCGTCAGCGAAGCAGATGAACTGGCTGGACTTATTGAAGAACGTGCCCCGCATGTTAAAGCCCGCACGTTTCATAACACCTTCTAGCGCAATGTTGAGGCAGGAAAGACCATCGCCTTGTCGAAGTCCTTTGAGAGTTTCAAACGAGTCCGATAACGTCACGCAGTACTGTACACCATCCATCGTAGCCTTGATCAGTCTTCCCGGGAAAACCGTTCTTGTCCATAATCTTCCATAGCTCTTCACGGTCAATAAGTATCATAAGCGGCCTTGAAATCGAGGAATAACAGTTGGTGCGTAGGGACTTTATATTCACGATACTTTTGGAGGATCTGCCGCAACGTAAAGATTTGGTCCGTTGTCGATCGCCCGTCGACAAAACCGGCTTGATAACTTCCCACAAATCTGCTTGCTAGCGGCGATAAACGGCGAAAGATGATCTGGGACAGCACTTTGTAGGCCGCGTTAAGAATAGTGATCGCTCGATAGTTCTCACATTCTAGTTTGTCGCCTTTTTTATATACTGGGCATATTACTCCCCCTTTACACTCCTCCGGTAGCTGTTCTGTATCCCAGATCCTGACTATCGGTGCAGACAAGTGGCCAACTTATCCGGGCCCATTTTGATAAGTTCCGCTCTGACACTATCTTTCCCAGAGCTTTGTTGTTCTTAAGCTGTCGGATAGCATCCTTAACTTCACCTATCGTGGGAGCTGGCATGTCCCCCTCATCCGCTGAACCGACGTAGCCATTCCTCCTGCCGCCTTGGTCCTCCACCTCTGCGCCGTTCAGATATTCATCGTAGTGCTGCTTCCACCTTTCAATCACCTCACGTTCGTCCGTTAAGATACCCCCTTCCTTATCCCGACACATTTCGGCTCGCGGCACAAAGCCTTGGCGCGATGCGTTGAGTTTCTTGTAGAACTTGCGTGTTTCTTGAGAACGATACCGCTGCTCCATTTCTTCGCACTCCAGCTCTTCCAGGCGGCACTTCTTATCCCGGAAAAGATGGGTTTGCTGTCTTCACTTCTGTTTATATCGCTCCACATTATGACGGGTTCCTTGCTGCAGCATCGCCGCCCGCGCTTCGTTCTTCTCGTCCAAAACCGTCTGACACTCTTCGTCGAACCAATCGTTCCGTCGATTCCGCTCCATGAAACCAACGGCGCCTTTAGCAACGCTGTTAATGGCTGCTTTCACGTTGCTCCAGCAGTCCTCAAGAGGGGCTTCGGTGAGCTCTCCCTCATCCGGCAACGCTGCGTCGAGGCATTGCACGTACTCAGTTTGCGGCTTCAGGCAGCTTCAGTCGCTCCAGATTGTACCGTGGTGGGCGTCGGTCCCGAATGTTGTTGGCAACGGAAAGTTTTTGGCGCACCTTGACCATTAGAAGGTAGTGGTCCGAATCGATAATGTCCGAGAAGTGCCTTCCGTCGATCAAAACGTGGTCGATTTGCGATACTGTCTGCTGCGGTGATCTCCAGGTGTACCGATATGGGATGCTATGCTGGAAGTAGGTACTCCGTATGGCCATGTTCTTAGAGGCGGCGAAATCGATGAGCCTAAGGCCGTTGACGTTCGTTAGCTGGTGAGCGCAGAACTTTCCTATAACCGGTCTGAATTCCTCCTCCTGGCCGACCTGAGCGTTAAGATCTCCGATGATGATTTTCACGTCATGGCTTGGGCAGCTGTTGTATTCCCGTTCCAGCTGCGCGTAAAAAGTGAGTGAGGGTTGTGCACGTTGTTTATGCTGACATTGAAGAAACGGCCTTAGATCCTCAACTTGCACATTCTGCTATCGATTTTCCACCACCCAATCACGCGCTTCTGCATTTCGCCCATCACGATGAAAGCTGTTCCCAGCTCATGTTTATTGCCGCAGCTATGGTAGATGGTATAACCAACAATCAATACGAAACTAT